ACTTCGCGCCAGGCTTTACCTCGAGCCACCACTGCTGCACCCTCGTGGCTATTTTAACCCGTGATCATCTTAAGAGCAGCACAGCTCCCATCAGTCTTCGATGGCAGCTCAAACTTGACATCAGCGGAGTCATCCCCGCCCAGAACAATGACCGTCGGCTCTGCCTTTTGTCAGTCATCATCTTCACCTGGTACCAGAAAACTCACTCTCAGGGTCGTAGCGCGGCCAGCCGAGCTTCGACAACCCGTTAACGGGATCCTTAGCAAATCCCGTCCACGCATCACGTAGCGTCTTCGATAGCTTCGCCTCATTCGGCGTGTCCTGGCCCTTGTTCTTCAACTCCGTGGTGCCGAAAATCAGCGCAATTTCGGCACCATGCCACGCGCCCTTCGCCGCCGTGCAGCACGGTCCTAGCCCGTTGTTCGGGAACGACCCCGAGTACAAGTACCGCCAGGCCGGCACGCCGAGCTTGCGGCGCACATCGGCCGCGGCGCCGGACCCGCATCCGGAGATCCGGTTCGACAGGCTGCCGGGCTGCTGGCCGGAGGTAGCGCCTTCGTTGTCCACGTTTCCGACAAGGACGGGCTAGGTTGTCAGCACTGTCTGTCCTTTGGGCGCGGGAGAGCGACATACCGCCTTGATAATGTTCCCAGCCGCGGCCCTCGCTCCACTCCCGCTAAACACAGTCTTCCCATCCGGCTTCGGCCCCCACGACCCAACCGCCGACGCCGAGTTCTTGGGCACCGTCGCATCAAGAATCGCATCCACAGGCTTTGCACGCATGCACACAAGCGTCGCGTCCACCTTCGCCGCCGTCACAGCCCCGCAGCCCAACTTCTCCGACAGGTTCGACCAATTCACGACACTCGCGTTGCCAGCGCCGGAACCCATGCGCGCTGCCAGCGCCAGGTTGCCCGACTGCGGGATGAAGCCGTGGACGATGGGGTCTTGGGTGTAGGCGTAGGCGTAGAAGTCGACGGACATGCCGCCTGCGGACTGCCCGAAAAGGACCATGCGCGAGGGGTCGCCGCCGAAGGACGCGATGTTGTCGCGCAGCCACTCGACTGCGACGCGCTGGTCCAGGAGACCCAGGTTGGTGTCGGGCAGGCCGACGCCGGGGAAGCCGAGGACGCCCAGGCGGTAGCTTTTATGCGTTAGTGGACGTTTTCAATGAGGAGTGGACGCACTTGACGCTGACGACGACGACGTCGTGCTCATCTGCGAGGCGAGCACCGTTGTACGCCTGGTTGGCAGCACTGCCGACGACGAAGCCTGGGCGGGTCAGCGTTGGAAATACGAATGGGGTTGGACGGACCGCCGCCGTAGATCCAGATCAAAACGGCCTTCTTCTTTTCGCCTGTCTGAGGCTTAGACCAGATGTTCAGGGTCAGGCAATCCTCGCGCTCTTCGTTCTCCGCGGCCCCGATATTCTTCGGAGCGTTGGGGTTGTTGCGGCTGATGCGGGAGGCGGACTCGGAGCACGAGCTGGGGTGTTAGCACGGTCGCCTTTCTGAGCAACTACACGGAATCCTCTCACTAGCCCTGCGATCTCGTCAGCCAAATTCACCCAATATTATAGTCACTTACATATTTCGTCGCATTCAGGGTCTTGCTCGCATCCTTGATATGCTGCGGGGCCGCCCAGCGCAAGTTGCCCACAGGCGGCTGCGCAAACGGCACACCGAGATACTCCGATACCTGGGGCTTCCAGCTTGAGCCATGGCCGACGATGCTCCCGCTGGATGTCTTGACCAGCTGGCCGACATTCCAGCTCTGCGCCTGCGCCAAGCTGGCGGAAAGAGCGACTGCAATAAACGAGTGACGCATGTTTTCGAAGTTGACGACGGACTTGCTTCACGACCAACAGTCCGGCATGGGACCTTTTGTAGGCGTTCATCGCGGTCGGTCGTCGGTTTACCGGCGCGCAAACGAGCTATAGACGATGACGCTTGGGTGCAATTGCTGAATAGGGCAGTGGGTGAGTACTTTTGTCTATTCCGCTGGGGCGATTCGTCGAGGGGGATAGAATTGTAGATGGTGCATTTGAAGGCTCGTCAAAACTGTGTAGGAAGAATTAGGCAAGATGCCTCAATTAGGTATGTAATGCCGTTTTTTCACATTGCCCGTCCAATTTATGCCGCCCAGACCCTATACGCGTATTACGCCCTATCCATCCTGGCCACATGTAGTCGCGGTGGAGCGGAGAGTCGGCGACGAGATGGTCCATCTCTAGCGGGTGCTAATCGGAAACCTGGCGATTACGGTCTTTATTTGCACGACAGAATTAACGATCGCGACGTTGGCGATCGCTGCACGACAGCTTGACGTCGTTTACTTGCGGGTCAGCGCACAGACCACAGGTTCCACCTCAGCACCCAGACGGAGTGCGGCCAGCTGAGTGGGGCTCTTTTGGAGAATCTGGAGTACGTTCAAAGTACTATGTATTTTGATTGAGGTTGGTAAGTTTCTCAATCTTCTACAGTGGTGGCCAGTTTTGGGCCGTTCGCCTAACGTCGGGCACAGCTCGTGGTCCTGCTTCCAGTTTAAAGTGCTGAGGTGTCTCTTTGCTCCTTCTCGCATTACGAAGCCACTCTTGTGGGCTTCCTCGTCCTCAAATGCTTGGTTGCGTTGTACAGTGCGCCACATAGTGGCGGTGTTGACCAGACGCGGCTTCAGCCTTGCAGCCACTAATCATGTTGCATTCACCACCGATTCACCACCGATAAGGTTGTTAAAATGAAACTTGTTGTCCTCTACAAGCCACTCTGTATAATCATGGACACTGAGATAGCGGAAAATATGAAGTGCTTTTGGCTATGGGAGATTCGTCGTCAGATCTTCCCCTTCCTATTTAGGCTCATCCCCTTCACGGAGTGTTACCACCCAATGAGTTCGCGTATGAGCAAACATCTTGCTCTGAAAGTCTCAGTTGTTACTTGGGATGATGAATCTGGGATTCAAACGGTAAGCAAAGCTTTCATATCCTCCCGCTCCCCATCAGACTACAGCACAAAGATCTCGGGATTAATCTGGCCAGGGAATTCCATTTTATTCTACCGGCAAGTGAAGCACAGCGCTCCCATTCTTGAGCCAACCATTGTCCCCAAGCACAGGCCTCCATTACTATACTTTTCACTTCTATCAATGACTTTATACGGTCTGTGCTGTATACTCTGCTCCGCTGTCAACACCACATGGTCTGTGCTCCGCTCTACAATTCTATCAACACAAACATCCACCAAGTCTGTGCTCACTGGCTTTCCTGTTCCTCCACTCTGCAACTCCACAGATCTCGGTTTCCTTTCACCATTTCTCTGCCTCCCCAATTCTCTACATCCTCAATTCCCCACTTCATCAATTCTTCAACTTCCCCCTCACACATCCACCCCACAGACACTCTGTCACGCTTCGAGTACCTGCGCGCTCACATTTCCTGTTACTTCGCACCCAAAGCGCCACACAAACATCCACTGACCGTCCGAATGGTCACACCCCCATCTTCTCTCCCCCTCTCTCAGCGCGCTCAACGGCTCTCACGATGGCGAGCGTCTGCAGCATCGACATGGCTGGTCGCGACGACATGTCATACACTGGAGAAGTAGCTGTGATCCACTATCTTGAAATGCTTGGGGAGAACCTCTCCTCTGACGATGACGTCTCAGTCCCAGAGCACACTTCCGCCTATGAAGTCTTTGAGAAGAAAATTCCTGGTTTCATCCATCTCCCGCTCTCAGAGGAAAGCGTCCGGTACCTGGAAGTGAATCCGGGTGCTTGCGGCGACAGCTAGTAAGTTGCGTCCTTGCTCGTCAAATGTTTTTGCAAGACTAATGTCTTTTCTTCGAACAGCGCGACCTCCAGTGTTTGGCGCCACCTCAACAACTGGCTTGATGACCAGGGTGGGGACTATGAGTATCAGCCTCACTTGCTCAAGATCCCGTGGTTCTCTCCTTTCGGCCTCCCTAAGGACGACGGCATATATCCCTGGGATGCCAACAACAGCGAGCCGTACGACCTCGACGACGAACGTCTCAGCTCTCGGGGTCCCCGCCCGGCCGTGAGATTCATCCTTTGGGATGACGAAGAGCACCTTCCAAAGGTCCAGCAGCACATTCCTCTGAACAAGTACAAGGACTTGATCAACGCTCGCCTACACATCGGACCAGTAAAGATTTGCGACTTTGACGACGATGAAGAGTCCCTTCGGTCCGGAGTTGAGGCGCCTGAGTGCCCTCAAGAAGGCGACGAGCTCCAGCTAAAGGACTGGCTCGCCGAGGCGTTCTTCTATGATGTCTATCAGTACGAGGAGCTTGTCGAGATGGACCTACTGGACTCGGACGACAAGATGAAGCCTGTGCTCATCCCAATGAGCAAAGAAATTGTCGACCACATCTACAAAGCTCTTTGGGACCAGGGTGGACTTTCGATGCTTCGAGTCTTCATGCCTGACCGCGTGACGGAGCTCATGAGTGAGATTCTGCAGGACCCCGGCGTGGCCGACGCGATCATCAAGGAAACCAAGGCGAAGACCTGGAAGGTTCAGTATGACCCTGGCTGGCATGAGGAATGGAATCAATTCGACCCCTTCAACAAGAAGGAGACGGTTGTCAAAAAGAAGCATGATGACCTCGATGAAGACGATAACAGGCCCACCAGGGATACCATGAGGGACTGGGAGTGGTGCGGCTTCTAAACATCGGATCCGCGGCGGTCTCCCGATTTTAGGCTTCACGTTCAGTGCGTTTTTCTCTGAAAGCTGGGCCGGACATGGGGCAATGAACCAGGCGTTGTCTGGTTAAATGCAGGAGTATGGTCTGTTGCGAGGGCTGATTTACATACGGGTTCAATGGGTGGTGCTTGTTCCAGTTTACTTGATACCATACAATTCAAACCTGATCTCTGTTATTCGTGCACCCCTCAGCTCAACCCCTTTCCTGCTTCTGGCGTGATACGCTCATGACTTTCGACACTAACCCGGATTGCGAAACAGTTGTCTACACACTGCCCGGGTAGCTCAATCGGAAGAGCGTGTGGCTTTTATTAAGCTTGATGGAATGCTGGCTGCTGAAACCTCAAGGTCGCGAGTTCGAACCTCGCCTCGGGCTCTTTGTCTTCTTTTGATACTTTTTGTATCCATACTTGCTGGCATTGTTGTAGGAAGGAGACTTCAAATGATCAGCGCATCTGAACCGAATTGGAACGCAATCTCGAGGGACATATCGTCAGGACTTTATCCTGGAAACTCGACTTAATGTTTTTGGTAGTCTAGAACTAGAATGTGGGCCTATTTTGCATCAGCATCAGAATACATACAACATTACGAACCATCATTGAAGTTATGGAGTTGGCCACAATACAGAAGGCTAATGGTCCGATCTCAAAAGAGTGTCTGCGTCTGTACGAGTATCGTTCGGCGTCCACACTAAGTAAGGTTACAGCTGGCTCGTAAAATTCAGGAACATAAAAGGTGTCTTCGCAATGCCGACAATTGTGATGAGATGTAGCCGATAATGGATTCGGTTGACTGAGTCTGGAGGTGCGAAGTGTGGAGAAGCGCACACGTGGAGAAAGTTGATATGGTAGAGTCGCTAAAGGCCCCTGGCGGTACCTGGGCGGTATTCCCGCTGTATCCCCGCATTATGGAACCCTGCCGTTCCTTCAGCCTTAACAGCTCGACGTCATTGCTGAAGGGGCAAAAGCTCACCTCAATGACCTGACAGCATTTTTCTTTTGTCTCCACTTCTACAATACTCACACTCCCGGGTGGCAATGGCAATGGCGACATCTTCACGCCTTCATCTTCCCTATAGACAATTCGCTCCTTGCTCCACCGGTCGCCATAGCCAGGACACCTCCATCTCTAGCACCGCATGTTCCGAGACCGAGCGGGTCCCAAGTCCGGACCGCGAAAAGACCATGTCTCCAAACTCCAGGAATCCGGACGCAGGCCTAGCCTTCCTCAGCGCGCGGATCTTGCTCTCTCGACTGTCCGGTCGCGACGCCCGATTCCGCCTTTCCAGCATCAACTCACGAGGGAGAAGACGGGGCCTGATGTCATCGTCGCGTTCGACGGTCCGGACGATGAATACAACCCGCGCAACTGGAGATTTAGCAAGAAAGTCATCACGACGCTCTGCTACGGGCTGACGACCATGGGCGTAACCTTCGCATCTTCTGTGTACTCTCCTGCAGTCGGGGTAGTTGCGAACGAGTTCCATGTCAGTCGCACGGTTTCAATACTCGGGATCAGCTTCATGCTTTTCGGATTCGGCTTGGGGCCGCTGCTCTGGGCTCCGCTCAGCGAGGTCTATGGCCGGAAGCCCGCCGTTCTCATACCATATTTCATCTGCGCGTGTTTCACGTTCGCCACAGCAGCTTCCAAAGATATCCAGTCTGTGCTCATCACTCGATTCTTCGCGGGCTTCTTCGGCAGTGCGCCCATCACCAATACCGGTGGCGTGCTGGGTGACATTTGGCATGCTAAGCATCGCGGCGCCGCGATCGTCGGCTATGCTCTCTCTGTCGTGGGAGGGTAGGCTCCACATATGCCATACAAAGATATCATTTCTAACTATGTAGTCCAACCGTGGGTCCCATCGTTGGGGGCGCCATCGTTCAAAGCTCACTCTCGTGGCGTTGGACGGAAATCGTCACGGGTATATACATGATGGCCATCTTGGTTATCGATGTCATAGTACTGGACGAAACCTCTAAACCGACCTTATTGGTATACAAGGCACGCCGCCTCCGGCTGGAAAGCGGAAACTGGGCGCTCCACGCAAAGCACGAAGAATGGGACATCACCCTCCGGGAACTCGGGAACAAGTACCTCATTCGCCCGTTCGAGATGCTCTTTACACCGATCTGCTTCCTCCTCTCCCTATACTCAAGCTTTGTCTACGCCATTCTCTACGGAGAGCTCGCCGCCTTCCCAATCGAGTTTCAGCAAGAACGAGGATGGGACCTCGTGGTAGGTTCTCTGCCATTCCTCGCGCTCTTAATCGGTATCCTCATCGGAGCCGTGGTCAACCTAGCGAATCAGAAATACTACATGAAGCGATTCAACGCGAACAACTGCAGGCCAGTTCCCGAAGCACGTCTGCCACCGATGATGATCGGTTCACTCTCCTTGCCCACAGGCCTCTTCCTCTTCGCGTGGACATCGAGCCGGAATTCCCCCTGGGAGCTAACCTGCCTAGGCGCCATCTTCATCGGTCTCGGCTTCTTCACCATCTTCCAGGCTTCGCTCAATTATCTGATCGATACCTTCCAGCAGACCGGAGCTAGCGCGATTGCGGCGAACACGTTCCTTCGCAGTGCCCTTGGCGGAGCTCTCCCGATTGTTATGGCGCCTATGCTGCACAACCTGGGCATCAACTGGGGGTGCGTGTGCTGGCATTCTTCGTTTCCTCGGCTAATTATTTTGCAGGATAAGCATCTTCGGGTTCCTTGCCGTCGCAATGATTCCGATACCATACCTATTCTTCGTGTACGGCAAGCGAATACGAGCCAAAGGCTACTGGTCGAGGGGGTCTTTGTAGACAAAGGTTTCGTCACTGTACTTGTAACGATGCATGATGGTGTTCTAGACCAACGAGCGTAGAAAAAATCATAGACGAAGTCGATACTGAGCGCAATCACCGCAAACCGCAAGAAAGCCTTATGGTTCCCAAGCCCAACCATCTTGGTCTTGGCGTTGGCAGCCTTGTGCCGAGCAACCGTGGAGATTCTCGGCGATCTTCGGTATCGTGCCGTTTGTGGTTAAAGCATGGAACTGGGAAACACCAGTGTATTTTTGGATGTTTGCTGTGAAATGTGGATTCGTGGCAACGGTTGTGGCTGGGAAAGGAAGCTGTCAAGAACCGGAAGAACGGCCAGCTCGTCCTCGGCCCTGCCAGCGGCGTACGGCATACAGTCGGAGGGACCTTTCATAGTGGCCAGATCCATCAGCGAGGTGAAATTGTCATTAGCGACGACTAGCAGGACAGGCGCCTCATTCAATACTTATATGATTTGGCAAAAGAAACTCAAATCAGGTATCAAGTGTAGTGTTCGCATCAAATCATCCGACCCACATCTGCCGGCGCTTGTTGTAACCAATGAGGTCAAGATCAATATTGAGCGTCTTGAGCATCATGTCCATTGTGAAACTCTGTCGGAATCAGCATCGTCGCGGGTATCAAGCGGGATCAATGTTGGATTTACCTCGTCATAATCAGCGTTGTCCGTCTCTTTGTCTTCCTTGCCCTCTTCTTCATAGTCCCATGTCTCCTCCGTGTTCCCTTCGTCCCTCCGAAATCCATCTCCGTTCTCAGCTTCCTCTCCCTGTCCATTCGCCTCGGCCCGCTTTTGAGCTTCAGCCAGCATCTCCTCCCGCTGCCATTCTACCTGCCGAACCTTGCGCTCTTTTTCCTGGTCTCGCCACGCACCTACGCCGCCCATGCGGTTCACCCTATCCCTTGCGCCAGCAAACACTTCCTCAGCCGCCAGTCTCGCCGCATCGCGCCATTTGACGGTAAGCTCCTCAAGCTCAGCGCCCTTCGTCGAAGATGCTATCGAGACCGCCTGGCGCAAAATGTCGATGTCTTGCCGTTGGCGGATGATACTCGCTTCAAGGCTACGAATTTTGGTGGAGGTGATACGCTTGTCTGTCGGCGTCGTGGGTGCGTTGCGACGCTGCGGCGTCTGGTGGCTAGATGCCGCGTGCGTGGCCAGAGGTGTGTGGAATGAACGAGAACTCGAAGGCACCTTTGCGTTCGATTGAGGGGTCTTCGGGTTCGTAACACTCGTGGTAGCTGTGCCTTGCTCTGTCCGGGGCGTCGATGGGTGTGTAGCATCGTTGTTGGGCCGCTTGAGGGGCGAGACAAAGGGCTTATGAAGAGCATTCACCCGGCGACGCTTTGCGGGCGGAGCTGAAGTAGGCGGATTCATGGTCCTCGAGGGCTTTAACTCGTTCAATCTGTCCATGGCGGTGGCTTAGCCGCAATGTTCTCGCAAAGGTTGGAGCGGGGAGAATTGGATGTATCTGAGGTAGGGAAGCTAAATGGTCTGCAAGTGGGAGATCGTGTCGCAGTACTGCGCAATCAAAGAGCCCGCGCCGCCTTGGCTATCAGTGGGAGGCAGAACTCTGAGCTAAATCCGCGCATGCGGCTTCGGAGGACATCCGACTTCGTAGTTGTTTGGGACTGCCGACAGCACAAGCAAACAGGTCCCGGCCGCGTTGCTGGCCAGACGCGCACAGCGCAACACGCAAGGTACCTCATTTCCATGTACGGCCGGGGAAAGCGTGAAGCAAGCGACCGAAGGCGCAAGGGGAAAGGATCAAGTGTCAATAGACAGCAACATATCAGGGCAGGCTAAACATAGCTCAATGATTGATATCGAGGAAGTGATTACCTTTGGTAAGTCTGTTTCAAAACTGGAAATCGCCTCAGCCCAACAGCGCCTGGACTTCGAGCTTCGAAGTCGTTTCAACCCGGGCGGTGGAGCAGCGGTCTGTCTGAGACGTAAAATGGTGGAATATTCTCCTTCAGCATCGCAGTCGTTTCGTATGAGCGTAGTTCAAAATTTACCGTCGCATGGTAACTCAAGAAGCATACAAGCAGTGGAATGTCGTGGCCGTGGCTGCGCGAATCGAGTGACGTCTGAGATACGACCCCTGCCGGCACGGAACAACCATCTCCGAACACAGCCGTGATCACAGACAGCATTGTTAGCTCACCGTCATAGCCCGAAGAAGTCTACACATTTTTCGGTACCTTCATGGTCATTGATGATGTCGTATCCTGGACTGCGCCCTTAGTACATTTAAGGGATATGCTACGGGTACTGTACAATTGATCTCAAGTGAAATCGTCCCATGCGCTACTAGAGTTTGATCGAGATGTTGAACGCATCCAACAAGCGGGCCACTCCGCTAAGCGCAACCATGTATCCCACCAATATTGACATCGCCTTCAGCTGGCTTGCGTCAAGCGTCCGAACCGTCAAGTTCACGGCCCCAGTGAGAAGATTCGCGAGCAAGAAAACCGCCAGGCCGTTCCTGTTGAAGGCATGGAGCAAAGGACTGGTAGCGTTCCGGGCTCTCTTCCTCTCCACATCGCCA